ACTTCATGTCTTAGTATTTTTCTTTCTTTCGGTCACACAGGCTGTTCAGTAAAGTGACCGTCTGCTCGGGACACACAGCATCCCGACACACTGCGGAGACACTGTGTGTGTGTGTTGTGTGTGTGTGTGTGAGTGTGTGTGTGTGTGTGTGTGTGTGGTGTGGTGTGTGTGTGTGTGTGTGTGTGTGTGTGTGTGTGTGTGTGTGTGTGTGTGTGTGTGGCTGTGTGTGTGTGTGTGGTGTGTGTGTGTGTGTGTGTGATGTGTGTGTGTGTGTGTGTGTGTGTGTGTGTGTGTGTGTGTGTTGGGGCAGGGGGGGGTCAGCAGATGAGCGTGCACATGGAGGGGGGAGGGAACACGGCAGTAAAATGAGATGGATCTGACCCTACTTGACTCCTGCCTTTAAAAGGCTGAATGTTTAAAACTGAAAGGGGATCTGGTTTAGTTTGGATGTGATATATACCAACACCATATATTAACCTCTTTTTCATAATTTATTCACCACCACCCCCCCCTCTCTTTCTGTCCACAGCAGGAAGCTTTATAGTATTATTAAAGTCAGAAAGAGAGATGACAGAAAAATGCATCAGGCCCCTCCTGCATTTTAATATCAGTAGCGGAGGGGTAATAAACATGGAGGCAGAGAGGAGCGACTATAAAACCCAACAATGTCTAATTTATGGAAGACAACAGCAGGGCAGCAAGGTGAGGATGTTACCCTTCAGTCTTTCACAACACAACAACGTCTCAAACATTTCTGCAGCAGACAATCAACACACACAAAAAACAAGTTCTGAAGAAAGTGTTCTGGATTTTTTTGGATGAAATATATAACCCGCAGGAGGGATGAGGAACTGGACTGTTTCTGTAAAGTTATTGTGAAACTGTATATGTTTTTATATTTGTTATCTTTTGTTTTTAGCATTCAATGCACTTCCTGTCTATGTTTTCTTAAAATGTAAGATTCAAATGTTGTCTTAAAGGTGGGGTAGGTAATTTTGGAGAAACCAGCTCGAGATCGCTAGAATTTGAAAATACACAGCCGGAGAAAATCTCCCACTTCCTTACAGAGCCCCTCCTCCAACACACACGAACGCGCACATGACCAATGAGGGCACGAGATAAGTCTGTGCACAGATGGAAGGCTGACAGGCAGGTAGGCCATCCAGTTATTTTAGCCGGGCCGGCTAAAATGATTGGTCGTGCTTTTTACAGTACTACTACACTGATGATATTTTTTTATGAATTTTTTGTCAAAGCACTTAAGATATTCATTGCTATCGGGATGTTAAGAGCATTCCATGGAATATAACAACAAGTGTATCTCGAGCCGGTTTCTCAAACTTACCTACCCCACCTTTAATAATAAATTGTAAACTAAGCCAGACCTTAAACAGTCTGAGGCTAATGTTTCTCAATCATCATTTAAAAAACCCTATTCAGATCTTGTTCAGAGACTTTTATACTGAACATGGAGGGTTTTATGATGTAATACATTTTTTTCTGTGAAGACAGACAGGAGGTAAACACTAAAGGGAACAGCAGAAGAAGACAGAAAGTAAACACTAAAGGGAACAGCAGAAGAAGACAGACAGGAAGTAAACACTAAAGGGAACAGCAGAAGAAGACAGACAGGAAGTAAACAGCAGGTGTGCGTCATATGAGAGGCCCCGCCTTACATCTTCCGCGGCGGAATTTCCCCAAATCTGTGGCGGAAGTTCCGCCACAGATTTGGGGAAATTGGTCCATGCTCAAAGCATTGTGGGGATTTTAAGGACGCGAAGTCTACCCATGTGCAGCCTCGAAATTTCCCCCAAACCAAGGACGCGGCCTCGGTGGAATTCCAAGCATGCTGGAGATTGGAACAGTCCTTCAGCGGCACTCAATGACGTAGCATCCTTGAAATATTGGCTTGGAAGCCAATATCCTCGCGATTGAGAAACGGCCAGGGAGAACAGAATAGCAAAATAAAACCCATTACAAGACAGACAAAACTTAAATCGTGACATAACACTAGGATCATGACAGTTTGTCCTCAGAGTGAACCGTCACCACTGTTCACTGATATCACATCGCTGCCATCTTCCTCCTTCATCTTCATCAGAGTGAACGCTCCTGATAAAAGGCTCCTGCAGGGAAAGCATCTCTGACTACAATCCCTTAACAAACAGGTAAACATTTAACCAGATTAACAGATCACATGTGAGCAGACGAGTAATTAAACCTGAAGACATGAACGTGTTTGACATCGTGTTTCAAATCCCTGACTATGATTCACACTCGGACATGGGGGGGGAAAGTAAGCTGGTACTTTTTACTTTGACTTTACGTGGTATTTGTATTCTTCATTTTATTGGTTTAAAAAAAAAAAAAAGTATTTCTACTATTGCTGTTAAAAGAAAATATGAAAAACATAGATTTTATTTATGTAAAAAGTAACTTCAAGTGTTGTTGCGCAAAAAGGTCAAATATTTCCCTCTGAGTAAAGTAGAAGTATAAAGTGTCAGAAAATGTAAATACTCAACCAAAGTACAAGTACCTCATGAGGACAGTACTTGTGTACATGTACTTGGATACAGTTCAGTACTAGACATAGCTTTAACTCACACACACACACACATGCAAAAAATAAGTTTGAGAAGGACACACACTTCCTCCTTCAGTGTGACACTTCTCCCCACAGCCCTGGTATTAAAATGTGTCGTGAGATATATTGGATAATGTGTGATAAAGGAATAAATAACACACAGAAGCTTCAGCGTGACAAACTGTGCTGTTCTCCATCCATTCTGCCGTCATAACGTGTCATGAGCGACTCATTCAAAGTATCTGAGAGTTTGATTAAGTCACAGCTCGATGCTCCTCCGCTTTAATGTACGGCTATTAATCAGCCTATTGTGGGTGTAAATGTGTTTGTGTGTGTGTGTGTGTGTGTGTGTGTGTGTGTGTGGTATCGACTGCCTTAATTCAACTAATTCACCATCACAACCTGTCATAGTGCTGATGCTGGAGACGTGGTTTGGATGAAGAGATGGACTTTCAGAGATCAGTGGGTGTTTGTCTGTGTGTGTGTGTGTGTGTGTGTGTGTGTGTGTGTGTGTGTGTGTGTGTGTGTGTGTGTGTGTGTGTGTGTGTGTGTGTGTGTGTGTGTGTGTGTGTGTGTGTGTGTGTGTGGAGGTAAGGGGTCGAGAGTCAAGGGAATTGAAGCCGATGTTCAGGGAAACACAAAGCTCAAGATCAAGCGTCGCTCGTCCCTCAGATGGGCTTGTTGTAATCCGAACGACATCAAAAGCCTCAATGCATCCATCCATTTATCACACACACACACACACACACACACACACACACACACACACACACACACACACACACACACACACACACACACACACACACACACACACACACACACACACACACACACACACACACTCCTCCCTCTTTCATGCACCTCACCCCACCGTCACACCCGTGTCTGCTGCCCGCTCACCTCAAGTGTGTGAGGCAAGAAGCCCCCCCTTAAAGCCGATTGCGTTTTAATAAAGTTTATTATGTGCGGGTAGCTAATCCTCGAGGGTAATCTCTCCCTGTAGTCCTAAAGGAAAGCTGGATTACTCACTTGCTATAATCCCAATGAAATTGTTAGGATTTAGCTTGCGCTGCACAGCAGATGGCAACAGGCTTTTTCCTTCAACCTTGGATGCTTTAACCCCCCCAATTTCTACATGCAACAACCTCCCAAATCCTCAGGGTAGTCTTGGTCAAAACAAAATAACAAACCAGCAGGGAAAAACATCCGAGACATTTTGAGAAGACAAAGATGGGGTCAAGATTTCTGTTTGTGGCCTTTAAAGAGTCCTCTCCTGCTGATGTTCAGGTGTATATCAGTATGTAGTGTCTCTACTTTAAAGAGTTCTCTCCTGCTGATGTTCAGGTGTATATCAGCATGTAGTGTCTCTACTTTAAAGAGTCCTCTCCTGCTGATGTTCAGGTGTATATCAGTATGTAGTGTCTCTACTTTAAAGAGTCCTCTCCTGCTGATGTTCAGGTGTATATCAGTATGTAGTGTCTCTACTTTAAAGAGTCCTCTCCTGCTGATGTTCAGGTGTATATCAGTATGTAGTGTCTCTACTTTAAAGAGTCCTCTCCTGCTGATGTTCAGGTGTATATCAGTATGTAGTGTCTCTACTTTAAAGAGTCCTCTCCTGCTGATGTTCAGGTGTATATCAGTATGTAGTGTCTCTACTTTAAAGAGTCCTCTCCTGCTGATGTTCAGGTGTATATCAGTATGTAGTGTCTCTACTTTAAAGAGTCCTCTCCTGCTGATGTTCAGGTGTATATCAGTATGTAGTGTCTCTACTTTAAAGAGTCCTCTCCTGCTGATGTTCAGGTGTATATCAGTATGTGGTGTCTCTACTTTAAAGAGTCCTCTCCTGCTGATGTTCAGGTGTATATCAGTATGTAGTGTCTCTACTTTAAAGAGTCCTCTCCTGCTGATCCTCAGGTGTATATCAGTATGTAGTGTCTCTACTTTAAAGAGTCCTCTCCTGCTGATGTTCAGGTGTATATCAGTATGTAGTGTCTCTACTTTAAAGAGTCCTCTCCTGCTGATGTTCAGGTGTATATCAGTATGTAGTGTCTCTACTTTAAAGAGTCCTCTCCTGCTGATGTTCAGGTGTATATCAGTATGTAGTGTCTCTACTTTAAAGAGTCCTCTCCTGCTGATGTTCAGGTGTATATCAGTATGTAGTGTCTCTACTTTAAAGAGTCCTCTCCTGCTGATGGAGAGGACTCTTTAAAGTAGATAGCCAATAGGAGTGCGAGTGTTCCATAGTGATGTCACTATGTTCCTGAACTTTGGGATTTCAGCCTTTGCAGACCATTTACATGCACTAAAACCTATAGAATACACTACAGGAAAGGGAAAGCCCCAAAAAGCAGAATAGGGCCTCTTTAAAAACAGATTCCTCAACACATGATGGTGGCATATAAAAAGCAAAGAGTCTTTATCAAAAATAATTTTATTGATTCAGACAGAAGCAGTGGAGCCCGCAGTGTTTTTGAGACGAGCCAAAAACAAATCCTGCTTATTCTAAAACCCCGTCCAGTGTGAACACAAACATCCACAGCATGTGATGTCATGTTTAAAGATGGGACACAGTGTAATGAACAGAAAAGCCACCGAGAAGCAGCGGAAAGTCACAGTATTCAACGACGTGAAGAAACCCTCAAGAAACTGTAAAAAACCCACAAAGCATTTACAGACTTTTTAAACGTCTGATTATTAAATTAAATGCACACACTTTAAACTCAATGCATGAAAAATCAACACGAAATTAATTGATTGGAGGGAAAACGGTGCATCTGTCATTTAAGATACAACAGCATTTTTTTTAAATCAAAAAAATGAAGTTAAGTGTAAATATAAAAAATATGATTTAAAAAAATAATAATAATTTGGTCGTATGAAAGTACTCTAGGCACATTTTCACCCTACTTTGGGATAATACAAAATAACTATAAATCAAATTAATCATCCTCCATTAGTACAAAACACACATTAGTTGCATTGACTTCCTTCAAATTCCCCAAAAGCAATTAATCTCATTTTGGGTTTAATTGTATCCTTCATAAATGGATTAGCTCGCATCCAACGCATGGACATAAACATTAATACTCACACATTTCCACATTTGAGCTCCAGAGGCCATTGAATTATTAAATTGGAAGTTAATCTGCTAATTTCTCCTCTTCTTGTACGACGTTCAGTATAAACACGCTGCAAGTGAGAGTTAAGTGGACCACTTAAGATCTCCTTAATCTGAACACAACCCCTTACAGTTACCCTTAAGACAGCGGTGGAAGAAAAGTAGTCATACCACAGTGTAGAAATAAAGTCCTGCATTCAAAATGTGATTTAAGTAGAAGAACAAAAGTGTTAGCGTCCAGAAAGTACTCGTTATCCTGATATATGATATCTTTTATCACTGTTTTTATTTATCAATGCTGCAGCTGGTTAAAGTGGCGCTAACTTTTTCTACTGCCAGAAGACTTTTCTTTTGCCGCTGCTTTCAAATAAATCAAAAAGTCTTATTCTTGTATTTTATACGTTTGTTATTCTACTTGACTGTTGCACTTAATGCTCATAATTGTATTTGTTGTTTTAGATGAAGCACTTTCATTGTGTTCAAATGTGCCATATAAATAAACTAAATCCATAATAATACCATGTTTTTTTTTAATATGAACCTGCATATTAACCTTTGTTGTAAGATAAATGCAGTGGGGTAAAAAAGAACAATATCTGTCTCTGATCTGCAGTAAAGCATATCTTTCTGTATAACACTACCTTTTTTACATCTGCACAGCGCTCCACTTTAAAGTCTGTATTTTGTATATTCAATTGTTTTATTTTTACATCTGCTTCTTATAATCGTTCTATTTGTGATCCTTCTCTTACCACTAATTATGTTTGCAGGTGTATACACAAAAGACATTTCCTTATATGCGTAAGTCTTCTTGGCAATAAACCTGATTCTGATTCACTTCCCTCAAAAGAGAGCGCAGTACGTGAGGAAAAGTACTTCCCACCACTGCCTCATCACTGCTGATTGTTAAGGATAAATGTTTTCTGATTCTGCATTTCAACTCTCCTATCTTCATGTCATGGACACTTTAACCCTCCGCAGCTTGAGGCGGTTCTTGAAGAACAGATACATGGCGAGGAGGCACATGGAGGACAGGAAGTAGAGGATGACACACAGGCTGATGTCCACTCTGGAGAACCCGATGTTTATCGTTGAAATCCATCGTCCCCCACGACTCCTCTCCACCTCCTCTCTGACGTAGAAACGCCCCGTCAGTTCCCTCTTTCTCCTCCGACCCACATCCGGCTCAAAGTCCTCCTCCACGGGCTGAAACGCCGCCATGCCGAGACCGAAAAGAGGCTCCTGGTCCTCCTCGTTCCTCTGTAAGGAGCGGCGTTTGACCCGGTTTGAGGCCAGAGCTTTGACCCTGAAGTGCTGATTCACAAAGGAGTCCAGATCCACGATGTCCTCCGGCAGCTCCCGCATCCTCATCCCCACGATGCTGGCTCTCCTGCGCCGCCGCACTCCTCAAAGACAAAGTCAAATAAGTCAACTTTATTTAGTCAATCTTTCAGTTTGTGTGTACAGACAGAGAGATGGAAAATACCGTTTCCCACAATCCAGAGGAATACAAAATACAAATCTATATACAAATATGTATACAAATATGTATATACCTACATATACACCAGCCGTTCCCAACCTGTGGGGCCGCCAAATAATTAGCAAAACCAGTGGCGAGCTGTCAGGGCCCTCGAGGCCCTCTCTGAGGGCCTAAGATATTCTACAAAGTAATATTTAAAAACATTAAAAAATATATATTTTAAAAATATATTTTTTTAGTTCTATTTTTCATTAGTTTTACCGAAAAAAAACTTGATTTAATTGTATTTAAAATAACATTTCCAAAGAAATAAATCCTTCGAATCTGCCTGTTCAGTCTCTGTTTGAATGTGAAGGGTTACATGAAAGATGCTGGTCTGAGCCCTCTCTGCGATTCACAGAGGGCCCGCTATAGTAGCTGAACGAGAGAGTAATGTCAAATGACAGTACAATTGACCAATCATATCTTCCCTCTAAATGGGTGGGTTTTATTATCGCGGACTTTATGACAAGTTCCGCCCGCTGTGAAGCTTTTCTTGTTTCCATAGCAACAACAACTTCCTGTCAACAGCGTAAACTCGCCTTCAAAATAAAAGCATGCCAAATTACACTTAAGACAACGAAAGTAACAAACACAATGCAATATCCTTTTCAATGTCAAAGAACACAAATTGGGTTATTTACAGGTGTTGTTTTGTGTGGTAGAGGGTCGCTTTCATTGATGCGTTTTGTACCCCGGGCCGTTGTTTTGATATTCCGCTGAAGTATACGCTGTGACGTAATAACTCTTTTTTTTTTTAGGGAAGGGGTGGGGGTCAGAGGGCAAGTCATGGCTTACTGAGCAAAACATTATGATTTGTGTGGAGACATTTCATTATTAAGATTTTATTTTATTGAACCTCTTTTCCTTTCTCTTTCTTGATCCTCCTTAGCAACGGTCATTACAGTCCTTGACAGCGGTCTGTTCTACTGGATTAACAACGTGTCACATGTTCTGAATTGACCAATCAGAACTTTATTTAGCCTCCGTATTGTTTATGGTTGAATGTGGGCCGCGATAAAAAATGTGATTCTTAAGTGGGCCCTGAGTTGAAAAAGGTTGGGAACCGCTGATAGACACAATCAACAGACACATATATATATATATATACGGCCTCACGTTTAACCAAGGGCGTTGTTTCCTGCGGTGCTTCCTCCTCATCTTCCTCCTCCTCTTCTTCCTCCTCTTCCTCTTCCTCTTCCTCCTGCTGTTGGGTGGGTTGTGGAAGAAGAGGATTCGGGATGGAGTCCAGCGCCTCCCGGGTTTTCCTCTCCAGATGTTTCAGAGCCTCTAACGTTCGCTGACGACTCTCGTGTTTCTCCCGCTGTTTTTTCAGGATCTGGCTTTCGTCTTCGAGGTAATCTGACAGGACGAGGGGAGGAAAGACACGGGGTATTATTTTGAAAATCATCGGATGTCAAAATAACATGCTTTACTAATTATCTTCAGTTCATCTGAAATCATTAGTGAACGCTAATTCAGTAAAAACTCTTTACCCATTACAGCATATTGAAATAAAACTGTGATTTAATTGTAAAACACGGAACAAAATGATGTCGAAATAACTACATGCTGATACTGGTTAGTAAAAACTATGACTTAATGCTTTGACAAGTAACAGCGGGCGGAAAAAGTTTAAAATGTGTGTTTTCTGAATGGAGTTGGGATGGATCAGGCTAAGCTAACATGTAGCTTCTCCGTCCACACTCACAACAACGTCATACAGACAGAAATAAAGCAGTGACTGTGTTCACCATGCCGCAAACAGTCTGTAGTTTGTACATTTATTTTCTCCAGTTTCTGAACAGATATGAGGAGCTGTGAGCTCTGTGTGCTAACAGCTAACGGCTAACGGCTAACAGCTAACGGCTAACAGCTAACGGCTGCTGTTTGGTTTTCTGATCCAATGTCAGTGACAGCGAGCTGAGACTCTCAACGCTGATTGGCATTAAGATCAGATAAGATGAAACTTTATTTATCCCCTTGGGGAAATTCAGGCGTTAATATCCAACCCAGTCTCACAGCATTTCGTGTTATAGTCACGAAATGTAATCTATTGATTCGTGTTCACCAACACAATTTTCACCTTTTTTTCGTGTCACACAGAACGATTTTAAAAGCAATGTATTTCTATTGGTAGTATGTTTCGTGCCTGCAACACGTCTTTTTGTCCGGTCGGGTCTTGGAAGACCAGAAGCTGTGTGGTTCATAAAAACATGTTCTTAATCAATATCTTACCCTAAGCCTTTTATTTTAAATTGTATAATGTCTGAGTTTTTTTGCGGTCAGTGAGGAAAAGAAATGGCTCAGAGCCTCAGAATACTGACATCTGTATTTTTTTTAAATCTTTTTTTCCTTCTAATTAGTTATTATTTGGTGCAGGCACGAAACATACTACCAATATAAATACATTGCTTCTAAAATCGTTCTGTGTCAGAATACTTAAATCTGTATTTTTTAAATCTCTTTTTCCTTCTAATTTGTTATTATTTACATTGCTTTTAAAATCGTTCTGTGTGACACGAAAAAAATGGGGAAATCGTGTTGGTGAACACGAATCAATAGATTAATTTCGTGACTATAACACGAAATGCCGTGAGACTGTGTTGCCATAGCAGCAACAGGGTCAGAGTTAAACACTGGATTCAAAGGAAGGTACAAATAAAGATAAAATAGAATACAAGTTAAAATAATAATACAGCAAAAATAAACTGATAAAGTGAAGAAGTAACTATTAAAACAAGATATCACAGTAAAAAGTTGTGCATTTGTACGAACATGTTAAATATATTTACATAAGTGTGCAGGTTAAAGTCTTGTAAAACAGTGCAGGTGTTATGTTTGAACATTCCTGGTTACCATTTGCGAGAAGACACATCGTCACATGAATTTATCTCTCGAGGTGAACTCTCGCCAGCGTGAATTTTCGTCTATGCGCCACTTTGCATTGACTTTACATGCAATCAAAGCTCCTTTAAGCAGGACACATGTCTGACGACCAGGGTAGAACACGCTGTGGTTTGTCGGTAAGTGGACCGGTTTAATTCAAATTAAAGGTGGGGTAGGTAAGTTTGAGAAACCGGCTCGAGATACACTTTTTGTTATATTCCATGGAATGCTCTTAACATCCCGATAGCAATGAATATCTGAAGTGCTTTGACAACAAATCCATACAAAAATATCATCTGTGGAAGCCGTAGTACTGTAAAAAGCACGACTAATCATCTGAGCCGGCCCGGCTAAAATAACTGGATGGCCTACCTGCCTGTCAGCCTTCCATCTGTGCACAAACTTATCTCGTGCCCTCATTGGTCATGTGCGCGTTCGTGTGTGTTGGAGGAGGCGCTCTGTAAGGAAGTGGCAGATTTTCTCCGGTTGTGTATTTTCAAATTCTAGCGATCTCGAGCTGGTTTCTCCTAATTTACCTACCCCACCTTTAACTAAAGATAATGAATAAAGCATCACATTAAGAGATCATTTTAGTTGATTTGTGTACGTTTTTCTCCCTGGAGCCAGTTTTACTTGAGGGAAAATCACCACTACCATGACCTTTGTGCTCTTCATTAAATAAACCGTGGTGTTGATCTGCACCTGTGAGGATGCTGCTGGAGGAGAAGTGAGCCAGCAGGAAGGGCAGTACGTGATCCTGGATCCACCGGTGCTCCCCGTTCTCCTTCAGCGAGTGGCAGCCCGGACACATCTCCGGAGACGGCCACTGGATCTTTGGGAAGTTCGGGTCTTCACTCAACGCACCTGCAGGGACAAACACCGGAAGATAAAGTCATGTACGGTCCTCCTCCACTGTACCTCAGCCACATCATAGACGCTATGCAATACATTAATGCACACAATATCTGTTATATTACTGCACATATCTTATTCCATTCTATTTCTATGTAAATACTTCTATATTTGACTATTTTTTTAATTATTTTTTTAATGTTATTATAGTTTTCTTAAAATTGTTTTCTATCTGTGTTTTTAATTTTTGTTTTACTTTTATATTTGCACCACAACATCAAATCAAATTCCTCGTACGTGTCAACCTACCTGGTAATAAACCTGTTTTTCTGATTCTGATTCTGATCACGAGAACATCAAGCACACAAACACATGGGGTTTAAAGGATGGTGAAGCTAGGTTTCTTTTTCAGAAACAAGTCCTGTTTCTCACTTGAGGCCAGGAAAAGGCTCTGTGACCTTTTGACCTGTGCTGGACTATGGTGATCTGATCTATATGAATGCACCTGCCCATGACCTGGTCAAGTTAGATGCCGCCTATCACAGTGCACTAAGATTTGTTACTAACTGTAAAGTATTAACTCATCACTGTACCCTGTATGCCAGGGCAGGTTTGCCTTCACTAATGGCGCATTTCCACTGCAGGGCCTAGCACGGCTTAGTACGGTATAGTTAGGCCTTGGTAGGCCAGGCTCCCTTTATGCTGCGTTTCCATTACAGTTTAGGAACTGGGGCAGTAACTATAGTAACGCAGTGTAGGCGGAGCCGTGACGTCATCTTCAATGAGAACCCCAAAACCAACATCAGCCGTTAGCTGTTAGCACTCAGAGCTCACAGCTCCTCATATCTGTTCAGAAACTAGACAGAAGTTAAACAAGTACAAACCACAGACTGCCTGTGTCATGGTGAATACAGTCGCTGCTTTATTTATGTCTGTAGGCCGTTGTTGTGAGTGTGGACGGTCGGAGCATATACTGCGTTAGCTTAGCCAATCTCCATTCAGAAAACACGCATTTTAAAAGGTGTTTTGCCTGCCGTCTGTCTGCAGACTTGACAAAGCATTAATTCATGGTTTTTAATAACCGGTATCAGTATGTTGTTACTTCGGCATCATTTTGAAACGTGTATTACCAGGGTTGCCAACTCTCACGCATCTGGCGTGTGACACACGCTTTCACTCTCAATCTCACGCTCTCACGCTGCCCAAACTATTCTCACGCCAAAAATAAGAATACGAAGACTCGAAACGGTTTTGAAAACTTTTCTCACGTAGTGATCGTCTTCTCAATAGAACATCTTTGATAATGTCTTCTGGCCAATCAGAATCACGATAACGGCGTGGTGTTGTTGCAGGAAGTCCCGACGGAGAATACTTTTGCGGTAGTACATCTCTATACATCGATACAACATTACGTGTTGATAGAAATCAACACGTAATGAAATAAGACCCCACGGTTTGATGATTGATAGGTGTGTGGGCTGTCTTTCATTTTGACACACAGAACAATGGGGGCTATCCACCCTTATCCACAATGTAAAGTAATTCACACAGCCTCTTCCCTCTTCTCTCTGTGAGGAGCAGCAGGTTCAGCTTTCAGAACAAATTAACACAAAACTAAAATGGCATTAATTTTTTTAAATATGTTGTGTAGTAATAGATTTATTTATTTTTCTTCTCAAGAGAGTACCAGAATGTGTATTTTATGTTAGTATTTCAAAAAATCTCCTGGGGGAGAATCCCCCCAGACCCCCCTGTAGGGGTTGGGTCTTCAGCATGTCAACTGTTTCACTTGTGGGGAAATTGCAGGATTGGCTCCAGGTCGCCCTTTTTATTTACTACAAGACAAATGTGCCTTTTTATATCATACAGTTCAATTTGGATTGAGAGAGACAGGGAAATAATCTAAACCTCACGCGTGGCGTTTCACTGTCGGGGGGGAGCGTGTATGTAATTACATTGCAAATACTGACTTGAGCCCCATCACTGTATGGGTTAGCCCTACCATAGATTACCCAACACAAATACTCTGGAGCCGCAACTGCCGACCCGTATTGCGCATGCGCAGATCTAAGATCCAGTAGAAATGATAAAAAAGTAAAAGTCTGCTGCTTATTGTTCTACTAGGCCAACATAGAGTCAAAGAGTACAGTATATGAGAGTGAGTGTGTTAATTAATATATTTGGCAGTTTGGAGTAAGTCTGTAGATTTGTTTGTGTGTGTGTGTTTCATGTATAGGCCTCTCACGATAATTAATTTTGTTGGATACATTTTCCCGGAAATTATTGCGATAAACGATAATATTCTCGGCACCGCTGTATGACCATTTTAGACCACTGACATAATGATAATATATAATAATAATTCAAGTGCATCCTTTCAAACTGCTAGTCACATCCTCATGTAAATGGCAATTTATCGAGGTCACAAAAGTTATCGAGTTCATTTTTATTTATCGTACGATAAGTCAATGAATTGCTTATCGCGACAGGCACACAATAAAACAGTGGAAACAAACATGTTTGACTTTCATTAGTGAATGAAACTGTGTGCCCTTTATAGTCTGTGTCCATTATTGTGTATTTGTATATATTGTATATATATGCTAAGGTCCCGCTGCTGACACGATAGCAGTCATTTTGTGCGCATATGTGTAATTAAACCGAATTAAACCCATGATATCAAAATCTCACTCCAGCCAGATACCCAAAGTTGGCAACCCTGGTATTACAATTATATCACGGTAAAATATGTTGTAGTTGCCAGCGATTCTCTCACTAGTTTAGCATACTCAGCCCAGTTGTTGGCCCGGGAAGAACCTCGATTTTGGAGAGCCAGAAAACTGTGAAAAAGTACCCGCTAGCCGGAACTACGCCTAGTGGAAACGCAACCAAAAACGGGCACGGAATGGCGCATTTCCACTACAGCACGGTTTAAGCGTGCCTGTACGGAGGCTCAGTCACTGGTACATGTTCATCTACAAAGCCATGCTAGGTAAACTCCCATCTTACATCTGCTCTCTGATCACATGGAGAGTTGAAAGTAGCTATTGCCTGAGATCTCATAAAGTGGGAAAAGTGCTGCGGTGTGAACGCGGCTATTGTAAATCCCTGTATCTATGTTGTTTTCTGTTTTCATGTCTTCATGTGGAACCTACTTGCAGCAGGTCTCCCTTGAGATGGGATTCACCTGCTTAAATAAAGGTTTGAAATGAAAATGGACTGTGATCATAAAGCGTAGTCAAATATATGAATGCACACGTCAGGTGTATTTGTCCCCTCATGCAGACTTTACTTTAGCACGTACACTGTGTTGTGCAGGATTTCTGCAAAAACACGATGACACCAGACGACAGTAGTATTATTCAATTACCTAAATAGAACCATTAGGAGACATACTGTCCAAAGAGCAGCATGAGAGTTATTCATATTATTATATATCTTTATTGAACGAGGACCATGCATACAAACACATTCATCTCAAAGAGAGGAGACGCTTTATGTGCAGCCCCTGGGCAGGAACACGCATAACAAATCAACAAACATTAAATACATTTCCTATCATACTAACACATAAAACAGATCAAATACAAGTACATTTGCCAATTTAAATATAAGTAAATAAGGGAATGATGTAAGGTTATGCAATATCTGTGACTTTACAAAGACATCGTTTGGATGACTGGTTTTCTTGCAAATAAACACCCGTCTTTTTCTTCATATATCCATCAATTATTCAATTATCAGCTTTAGGGGAGCTCTTTACCGCTCTGAACACAGGAGTTCAAACTAAAGGGGCCTATCTCTTCCACTGATACCACGTTCTCACACACTGATAGCCATCTACCTTAAAGTAGATGATATATATATATAACAAGGTCAGAAAGAGTTGCATGTGTCCATATTCATGCAGATCATAAAGCACGCAGTCAGCGGCTTCCTCTCATTGTTGTTTCTTTTATTTTGTGTGTGTGTGTTGACTGGAGGATGTAAGTGCTCCGAGGACTCGGTGCAATCTGAGCTGAACCCATTTGATCTTGTCACAGAGATCGTAAAAACTAAGTGCCCATATGCATATGTGTATGTATGTGTTTAAGTGTGTATATGTAAATCATCTGTCTGTGTTTGTGTGCAGGTAATCCAGGGATTGATGTGTGTGTGTGTGAGTGTGTGAGTGTGAGTGTGAGTGTGAGTGTGAGTGTGAGTGTGAGTGTGAGTGTGAGTGTGTGAGTGTGAGTGTGAGTGTGAGTGTGAGTGTGAGTGTGTGTGTGTGTGTGTGTGTGTGTGTGTGTGTGTGTGTGTGTGTGTGTGTGGGAGTGTATGACAGGGTCTAACAATGATCAATGGGCTTCTGGGATGTCCCAGTGGGAGGGGTGGTGAGATAATAGATGTGGCCAAAGTGGACAGCTTCCCCACACACACTCTGACACACACACACACACAGTTTTGTGCGGCAGACCTCCACCACCTGTCTTGTCGCTTCACACGCTTTCAAAGCAAAGTCCAATCTCCAAATTGAACATGAGAGCAGCAGAAACCTCGCAGGGGAGCTGCCCCGCTAATGAATTAAACTTTCTCCTTTAACATGTTTTCTTTCATGTAGCCGCCCCTCACTCACACACACATACACACACACACAAACACACACACACACACGAAATCCATGCAAACACAGAGGAACTGGCAGATGCACAAGAAAACCCAGGTATTTATATGAATATACCTGAAAAAACGCAAGTTGTATTGTCATATAAATACTTGAGTGTAGTAGTAGACCATCTTCTATCCTCACATATATCTGTAGAAAGGACACTTTAGGTTTTAAGGGTCGATTGGACACATTCTTCTCTTGGTTTTTTACATCTGTGGCTTTGAGTGTTTTAAAGTATTGCAATACGACATGGTAAAAGTGTTTGTCCTCAGCTCTAAAGTGAAAACTGCTCCACTAAATGAAAATATTCTCAAATATCGTGGGTCAACCCCGTGAGAAACTCTGTGCATCAAGCAGTGCTGCA